TACGATAGTGTGTTGAGTCTCTACGGAGACTGAGGTTCGAGTGTCAGCCTTTCCTCGTGCGCGGGGACTAGAGAGGGTTGGATGTCTCGCCCAATGACTTCGGCTCGTGTGAGTATAGTGCTCGGTGGGTGCGCCTAACCGAAGTTTTTACTCGTAATTCCTTGAGGAGTCGGGGAGATAGGTCTGAAGTTGCGATGCAAGACGGCTCAAATCGCCCTGTTTTGCGAAACAGGTTTGGTACGACAAAATTCAAGGAAACAACAGAAGCTTGTGTAAATGATTTGAGTTGTGAGTTTAATATTGTGATGTATTGTAATGTTGTGACTTTGATAGTTTGGGTGGTGATGATCTAAGTTATGAGTTGAATATTGTGTTGTATTGTAAGGTTTTGACTAGGATAATCTAAGTTATGATATTTTGATATTGAAATTATATGCTATGTTAGGTTCTTACTTACTCACCCTTTCCTTTTGTGGTTGTGGCTCCACCTACGATGATCGTACTTGTACGGGAGTAGATGGCGTTGCAGATGAGGCAGAGATGGAGTAGCATGACGAGAGTTATGGGAATAACTATGGGGGATTTATCATGTTTTAAAGTAATTTTATGTCTTTAAATAACGAATTTGATATTTGTAAGGTTTTAACCTTATGTTATAAGACGCGTAGACTTTTGAGGTTTAGTTCCGCGATATTAATCTTAAAAGAAAAAAAAACTGGCGAAAAATTTTGGATTTTGTTATTTTCTAGTGGCACTCCGTAAGGGGTGTTACACCAACTATTTGGTACTTTAACTCTTCTTCAAATCATTCCAATAGCCTACAAAATAAAGGGAATTTAGTAATAAAATCAGCAAGTATAACCTCAACTCTCTTATTCACAAAACTAAAGCAAAAAGATGATTTCAAGCAAGTTTCTAAGCAGAAAAGGATGCATTTAGTGTCAAAATTACATCATAGATAACGATGTTTTCAACCGTTATCAAAGAGACACCTCTATTTATAGGCTAAGGTGTCTCAAAATAGGCAGAAATATAAACCTAAAAGAGTCACCTTGGTTGGCTTGAAGAGTAAGGAGAAATCCTCTCCAATAAGAGGGAGACAAGTGGAAAAAATCCTCTTAAATGAAAGGGTGACATGTGGCCACTACCTATGGAAAAAATCTTCATTCCTAGAGTGACACATGGCCTCTAATTAGGGGAAAAAACTCTTCAATAGGTTGCCTATGTATGTCTAGGATGAAAAGGCTCATATGGTCTCTAAGCTTGCCCAAAAATGTTGACCCCTTGGTCAACACACCCATTTGGACGTCCACCTTGGTCAATGTTGGGCTTAAGGCCCAATGTTGACTTACGTGGTCAAAACCCTATTCTATTTGGCCTAAAATACAAGGCCTAATTAAAATCCTACACTACTAGGCCCATAATACAAAACCCAAATAAAATCTAGATTACTTAGCCCATAATACAAAGCTTAAGGAAAGTCTAGACTACTTGGCCCAAAATTATTCTTACTCTACTAAATCTTCATGATGGCTTAAGTTGACCCAAGAGAAAGAGTCTAGCCTCATATTCCATAGATGACTCCAACTCTTCATGAATGTGTTAGGCCATGGCTAGGGGTATGCCATCAGGAAATGTCTCCACCACATAACTCTGGTTTTAAGGCTGTCTTCGAAAACAATCCTAAAGTACTAAATGATTCAACATCCAATGGTTGGGATGTAAATTCAAATAAGACTGAATCAAATTCCAATGGTTGGGGTGCTTGGGTAAGTAACAAAGTTTGAATAAACAAAGGAAGATAATTTTGGGTCTAGTGCTTCAGGTGAAAACAAAACACATAAGGCAAACACAAAATCTAATGATGGTTGTGAAGCTGCACTAAAATGTGCATCTTGTCGGGTCGCTNCTAATGATGGTTGTGAAGCTGCACTAAAATGTGCATCTTGTCGGGTCGCTTGCTTGCGCTCATTGGGTCGCTCCACTAAAATGTGAAGCTCCATTTCTATCTACTAGCCCAATATCTATGAATAAATATGGATTAATTTCTATCTACTACCCCAATATCTAAAAGCTCAAGTGTGACAGTTAAATAGGAACCTAGACTTTGAACACTTAAAATCAAATAAAGAAGGACTAAGAACTTACCTCCATGGTCTATGAGGAAGTTAACATTTTGGGGATTCTGCACAACCACGAACTCCCACGACGAACATACAGCAAGCACAAACCTTTGCAGTAATAATCCCTCGACAATAGAAAAACTCATGATAAATGAGTTTAGATTACAATTACAATATATAACTATAATGTTGTATTAAAAATTGAAATGCAATGATAGCAAGTGCAAGACAAATCTGAAAGCTTATGGAATGGTAATCCTAGAATGAACAATGTCATCATATGATGTACACCAAAATGCAGAAAGATATGAAAACCAAACCTAAATCTGAAAGCTTATGGAATGGTAATCCTAGAATGAAAAATGTCATCATATGATGTACACCAAAATGCAGAAAGATATGAAAACCAAACCTATAATAGGTACTACTAAAACACATGTAAGCTAGCAAACATCATTAAGGCAATCAATTAAACTAATTTCAGAATTAAAACAAGAAGGCAATCCATTCAACACATACTTACCTCCACCAGACCTTCACTGTCAGTTTAGGGCTTTTAGACAACCACAAACCCCTTACCACCACCAACCATCATGGCGCAGCGACTACCGTCACCCAGCAACATGTAGAGCGACCACCAGTGCGCCACTAGTCACTAGTGTCGCCCACCATCTACTAGTATCACGCCAGCGTAGCTCCATCGTCGTGCCACCAGCGTCATGCTCGCACCATCAACGTCGCACCACCACCACCAGTCACCTGCATCATCCATCACGCCACCACCTAGGGTTGTTTCAGATTAGGGGTTGGGGGAGAGGGTTATTTTTGGAAAATGAAAATGAGGGAGAAGGGAACCATGTTCTAATTTAATAAACTTGAAGAATTTACTGACGATCATCGCCTGTCGACAGTGATTGATGACGTTTACTAACAGTGTTATCAGCGATATATCGGTCAGTAAGTAACGAAGTCTATTATTGACGGCCATAGGCCCATCGGTAAGTACCATTATGCATTTCGTCATTAAATTTGTCAGTAAATGTGTGTTACCGACAGATAATTAGTTGTCGGTAAAAATCCACCAATAATTGTAATAATTATTGTAATGGACAACATCTAAATGATTTGACTATGCCAATAAAGATGTTGATAAACAAAGATTAAGAAACACAACACAAGGATATATGCAAGCATATAATCCCATACAACCTGGTAACATAAAGAAGACGATGAAAATGGAGTGGAAACTAACTTATCCCAAAATAGAAACCAACCAATTGATCTTGACAAATTTGCCACAAGAAAAAAATCCTATTATAGAAAAAATAGTAGATCCTAAAAAATCTTAAAAAAAGAAAAGACCTATTTAAAAAAGAGTTTTTATAAAAATAAAGTGTTTTTATGTTTTATAAAATTTTAATTTATATAAAAATATTTTATCATTAAAATAATTAAAATTTTTTTTCTAAATTCTCACATAATAACATTTTATCTATTACTCTCAACAACTCAACTTTTACTTCTCTTTTCTTTTAAATATACATATTTTCACTAATTTAAATTGATATTTTATCCAAACACAAACTTAAATATTTAAATTGAAAAATAATACAAACTGGATTGTATGTGTTAGCTATTTTACCTAATTCAACATATCTAATTCGTCCGATTCAAGTGTAACCCTAGAATTGTCCATATTTTTTGCAACATTTTCCGAATAACAATTTGAATTAACAAAATTGGAAGGTATGTGATAAACAAAGAAAATATCAATGTATTGATTCATGTATGTTGTGGGAACAATGTGATAGAGAACACGTGTTCATAGGAGAAAACAAATTCACGTACACGTGATACAGAAGTGAGAGTTTGGGAAGTTTTGAACACAGGGAAGCTGTAACATTGTGTTCTTACTTTTCTCTCCCGTAATTTTTACCATCCAAATCCAATTTCCAATCTTCCCTACAATTTCTATTCCTATTATTATTAATATCTCATTGCCACCATCCATCCAACCTTAACCACCACCGTTTCTCTTGTGCTCTCAATCTTTTCTTAATTTGAGTGGCTGCAAAGCCCCACGTGTTACCTCCTTCACGTTTTTGGTTGCCCCCTTTTTTTGTTCACCACTTTCTTTGTCCAATAATCCCTTTGGAGGTTTAGGGTTTTGATTCTCTCAACAACTCTCGCTTAATTTAAGGATATTTCATTCTTTTCAATAACTGCCATGTCTAAGAGGTGAGCCTCACCATCCTGTTTTTTCCCATGGTTGATTGACTTTTCTTGATGTGGGTTTTCTGTCTTTTGTTCTCTTGATTCTTCAATTTCTGTTGATTCTTGATTGATTTCTGTATGTTTATGCTATTTGTGTTACTATAATCGTGGTTCTTTTTTTTTTTTTATGTTTGAACCCGATTCAGATTATTTTGTTTTCTATCTGGTGGTGTGTCCCATTCGTTGATCAGAATTCAGAAGAAAAGGGCTGGTTGAAGTTGCTATCTTCTTTGTTGCCCCCGTTTGTTATTGACTTTTGAAAATCGTTATTTGATTCGATTCGATTCGGATGACTTTTTGTTATTGGAACTCAATCACGTTATAATTTTTAGCGTATCATTATTCTTAACATAGATTTCTATGATCATGACGGACAGTAAACCGTTCCTGGATGCCATAACAATGTTGATTTCTGTAGTAGGTAGAAGAATGATATTTGGCATTGCTATCTTTTTTGTGGATTGTATTGAAATAATTTGAATCCATCCTTTTGTTTTCCTTTGTGGAAATTTGGATAAAAGGTTTTCATTGGGGACCTTAGTTTTTTATACACAGGATAAGTCTTGTGTGGGCCTTTTCTCTCTCTCCTTTCTTATGCAACTTGAGATTATTATAAGTTTTGTAATTTCTTTCTTGTCTTCTGAATTTTGTAGGGTTCTTTGTAAGTTCTTTGCTCATGGAGCCTGTCTGAAAGGGGAGCATTGTGAATATTCTCATGACTGGAAAGATCCTCCAAATAATGTTGGTGATGCAAACTCTTCTTTGTTGCAGACCACCTAATTGATTATTATTAATGTACATGTCTCTTATAATTTCTGCTTGCTGTCTTGTTATGACAGATATGCACATTTTATCAGAAAGGAGTCTGTGCTTATGGTAGTCGTTGCAGATATGATCACATCAAAGCTTCTCAAGCGCAATCTTCCATTCCATCTTCTTCAGCAATTGAACACCATACTCTGGTTTCAGATACTGGTGCTTTTGGAAATATTATAACTACTTCAAATGGTGTTGGTACGGCTGCAGACTTGTCTCTTTCCAGTAGTCCGTACATTCTTCCTAGTGAACCGGCTTGGAATCATGAACTGGTTTGGAATCCAGAAATTGAGTATTATGAAATTTTAGGGGAAGACAATGTTGGTCAATCCATAATCACTTCACCTTCTGAGCTTTCAATTTGTTCATTTGCTGCTGCTGGCAACTGTCCACGAGGGGAACAATGTCCTCATATTCATGGGGATCTGTGTCCCACCTGTGGAAAGCATTGCTTACATCCTTTCAGACCTGAGGAAAGAGAAGAGCATATGAAGACTTGTGAAAGTAGGCATAAGTATCTTGATGCACTGAAACGAAGTCAAGAAATTGAATGCAGTGTTTGCCTTGAGCGTGTTCTGTCAAAGCCTATATTAGCTGAGCGCAAGTTTGGGCTGCTATCCGAATGTGATCATCCATTTTGCATATCCTGTATTAGGAATTGGCGGAGTAGTAACCCAACATTGGGGATGGATGTTAATAGTACATTGAGGGCTTGTCCTATTTGTCGTAAGTTATCGTATTTTGTCATTCCAAGTGTCGTTTGGTACTCAACAACTGAAGAGAAACAAGAAATCATTGACAAATACAAGGAAAAGCTCAAGTAATTTCTTGATCTCTCACAAACTCTTATGACTTCTTTTTCTTTTTCTATCCAATTAATTCATGATCTGATTACATTTGAAGTTCAGAGAGTTTTAACTTTTGTTCACCGTTGTATGCTGTCTTATTGATGCGGGACGACCCGTTTCCATTACCCCTTCTTTATATTGATTTGCTTGTGCCAGTGCAGCTGATGGCGAGCAATATATCATATAGTTCACAACAAGGAAAAAAAATATCTCAGCTGAGTGAAATAGTTAATGACTATATTTTTTATGATACACTTTTGGTAATTGTTTAATTTCTTTTGTAGGTCAATTGACTGCAAGCACTTTGACTTTGGGGATGGTAACTGCCCTTTCGGATCTAGTTGTTTCTACAAGGTAATTTAGTGAATATATCTAGTTCTATTTTGACAAGCTCTCCCCCTGCCAGCCATTTTTCTATTTTCCTAATAAACACTTAATAAATATCTTTTGTTTGTTGTGCCATAATATATATGGTTTTTTATATACTATAGAATTTGTTGCATTAGAAACAGTGGTGCAACTTCTACGTTTCTGGTATCTAAGTCTATTAGTATTTTCAGGCATACAGCTTCAATTCCCCTACCTTGTGTTGAATTGTGATGTCTAGATTGTGGTTTGGGGTTTGAATTGTGTTAAAAGTGAGTCTTGAGAAGTGTTTTGAGGTATCTGTTTGCAAAATTTGACTCGAGATTGGTTTTTTAAATCAATAATTGCAGCATGCATATCGAGATGGCCGTGTGGAGCAGGTAGTATTGCGACATCTAGGTGCTGCAGATGGAAATACCGTAATTGCAAAAGATATCAGGTTGCTCTTTTCCTTCTCATTATCTCTGACCTTAACCTTGCTATGTTCCTCCTTTTTTTTTTCCATTCACTAACATAAAACATGATGCTTTCAGGTTGTCGGATTTCCTTTCCAACATGCATTTAAGATGAACGGAGTAAGTTTCAAACTTGTGTTTCCTTTACTTAAGTTGAGGGTGACTTTTGTATATGATTTAATGTATAATAATATTTCTTTTGTATTTGATGCGTAGTTTATTTTATTGTTAGTTCCTATCTTTGAAGCCTCAAATATGATTGTTGTTTGGGAAGCATCACCATTTGTTCAATTGTTTGATAAACTCGTGCTTTTATGGTTTTTACATAAGTTTGATGATCCCTTGAATGACTATTAGCTTTATGGGTATCTAGAGGCCACATGAAATTTAGTGTCTGTTGATATTATCTTTTACATAAACAGGTTCTATGTAAGAAATGAATGTGTTTAGTGCTCTTAATTGTAGCCTTTTGAATGTGAGAGTACATATGTGCCTTTTAAATTGCTTTATCTTTTACATTTAGACATCGAGGCCAATTTAAGCAATCTTTTATGGCCTTCCAGAAAATTGGGAATGAGGGACTTAAAGCTTATGAACATCAGCCTTAAATGATCAAATAAAGAGAAGATAAAATGATTGTCTAAGATTGGGGATGATTATGTAGGGTTTAGTTCTAATTATTTCACTTTCTCCAACCTTAGATATGGTCATCAAATGAATATTTATCAGGAAAGTGCAAAGAAAATAGAAACACTTTCTATCTGTTTTTTTTGTATCTTTAATTGGCCTTTGTTTGGTAGAAATTTGGTCCCTGATCCACTTAGGTTATACACGATTAGGAATCCGATCATGTATGGAGAAAACTTAAGTTTTTATTATCATACACTCATATTTGTGCAAAATACTAATATTAAACCATAAACCCTAAACCCCATACACTCATATTAGTACACGTTGGTCCCTGCTTTTCTGTGCTTCTCAAGTCCTAGCCCTAAAAATCATTAGTTCTAGTTCCTATATGCCTTAATCGGAATTAAACTTTAAGGCTTTTTTTTGTCACTTTCCTGTACAGTGACATATTCATAAATGAGCCAAATATTAAGTTTAGCCTTGCTTTTTACGTCATTTTTTATTCCGAAAACGTCTAGCCCTAATGCTAATTGTATTTCCCTTCTAAGCATACTTTTTTTAGTTGAACTGATGTTGAGCTTAGTGCCTCTGTTTTTCTTTGTACCCTAGTTGTGTTAATTGCTACCTGTGTGTTATCTCTGCAGGATACTTGCTAAAAAAAGGCATCCTTCAATGTCAAAAGTTATTTTTATATTGCAAGTCAAGCTCCTCTTCTTGTTTCTATGATAGGTGCTTTTTCAGTAAACCCATATGCAATTGATAACCTCAATATTTTCTGAAATGTAAGTTTTGTCGGTCTTGATTTTAGATTTATCTTTAAGCTTGTCTACTATCTGAAGTTTATACCCACAGTATTAATTAATGCTTTCAATTATTTTCTATCACGTATGGCATATATACACATTTTCTCACTTTCCTTGAGATTGTTTGTGTATAGAATATTTGGTCCAGTGGCCCCAATATGAAAGGAACCATATATCCTTGAAATCTAATCCCTTTTTTCGGTCTTACTTTCTTCTGTTTTCATTTGGTCAGAGTTTATCTTAATGTTATGTTGGTAGGCATTTGTGAAGTGATGTAATCCAAAACCATTTCTTCTGGTATTGTTGCTTCTTGTCTTCTTGACTTGGTATGGAGTCCCAATGACTAAGTGGCGTATTGCTTATGGTAGTTAGGATAATGTTCTGACTAGTAGAATCACTGCTGAGCAGAACCGGTAGACTCACCATGCAGAATCATACAAATGGTAGAATCAGAGTTTTCCTAGTTTGCATGGATCATATTTTTGTGTGCCAGCTTTCAGCTGTGGGTCAAGTTTCTTTGCGTGGTTCTTTTGTTGGCTAAGGCTATCTTAGTCACATGTAGCATTGCTAGGAACCCTCTGTTTTATCCCTACAAGCCACACCATTGCTCTCCCTAAAAGTTTTTGCCTCCCTCTTTAATAAATTGGGTCTTGTCCTCTTAACTCAAGAAAGAATTTCTAGCATTGCAATATATCCCGTGACCTCATCTCCAGAAGTAAAATCCTAAAATTAATTCATTCATTAGTAAAGTGTTCCTCTATTTCAATTGAGTCGATATATAGTAAACTGACCTGAAGGCTTGGTTCCCTCTAAATTTGTCCTTTTAGGATAGACTCAAAATATTCCTTTTTCATGACCTTATTCCTTTTTATATAATGAGTTAGTCAAGTTAGGTCATTCCTTCAGTTTCCATCGTACTCATGCTGCTTTGGTAGATCTGTTTTCTTAACGTCTTTTCCACAAACACTGTGTAGGGCTTTGGATTGTGGTCTGTAAAAAAGAAAGGTAGCAGCAGATAAACCACAGACAAAATAAGAAGCCCAGTCATGAGTTTATGCAGATGCCATAAAATGTGTGAAATTCAAGCAAACATGTAAATGAATCCACGTGTCTTGATTGCAGAACAGAGACTTTTATTTATAATTGTCATAGGATATATGCTATGTTTAAAAATTATCTATGTGAGTACTGCTTGTGGATTTCTTGGCTTATGTTTTTATCTAAGATTAGTGTTAAGTGGGGTTTGAATTTTGAGTGTTTGACTTGTAATTAGTAACATAAGAAAGGATGAAAGTATCAGCACTTTTTTAGGCAAAACTATTTTTCTCTTTTCTAGAGCATCAAGTTGTATTGTTTCCCCTTTTACTTTTGAATTATTGGTCTATATTGTCTAAAGGGTCTTTTGGATAAACTTCTCTGGGAACACTTGCAGAAGAAAAAAAACGAAATAATTTTTCCACAAGTTGGACTTGCTTATACATAAGTTAAAAATCTAATATTTGAAAAGCTATTAATTTGTTCGTAAACTAAGTTTTATTTATTGAAAAACTTATTTTGATCTGTAATGTTATTTTCTTCTTCTAGAAGTATATGGAAAAGTTCATCTGTTATAGGATATTAAACTCTGTCTGCTGACAATGATTTGTTTATTTTCTCTTAATCAAAATTTCAGAGGCACCAGAGAAAGAGGCTGCACACTTGGGCATTCTGTCGTTGTAATAAAGTGCATGTGCTATAAATGGTAGTTGGACATGGTACGAGGGTATAAACTTAAATAAATTCATTTTTAAAGCATATAAATCGAAGTATGGATTGGTGGTGGTATACTCTATTAGAAGCATGGTGGAATGCACTCTTTTATCCATCAGTGAGACTTTTAGAACCATTACTTTTTTCTGGTGGATTTCAAAGTAATATGCAAAAATTGATTGGGGTGATGAAGTTTTCCTGTTCTATTATTGAGATCTTAAAGAGATACATTTCTGTTGTATACTTGGATTTCCTTGCTGTGGTTGGCACAGTACCAAGAATCTTAGGATAAAGGATTCAACATGTCTTGTATTGGTTTTGTTATTTTCTTTAGGATTTTGTCAGAGCCCTTTTTGTGGCTTATATAGATTCCTTTTTTTTTTTGTTTTTATGAATATATACCAGTACAATTCTCATAAGTTTCACCAACTGAATATACCACAATTTCTTTTAATTAAAGAGGCCCATGAAAAAAAAATCTATTTAATATTATTTTGTTTCACCAAAGTTATACTTAGTCCATCCCATTTGAATTGCAATAATATTGACTCAAACTTTTATGGGAAGACAACCCTCCAAATTACAAATGAAAGCCTAGAACAAGGATATAGTGACATTTACAAGTCCTTTTTGATGGGGGTTGGGAGAAGGTATCACAAAAGGTGCGGTTTTGTTCACTCATACTCATTCTCATAAGTGATGGGTTTTTAAGAGGAAATTTTTCAATTTTAATGTTAATATTTATCTTGGGTTATATATGGACGATTTGTCATCCATTATTTAAAATTTGAATATTCACATACTTTAAACAATTTATATATTAAATTATTTGTTAAGTTTTTAATTTGAACATGAAAAATGTCATTTACATAGAACAAGTACGGATGCTTCTTCATGTACCTCTCTTTTTCCTGCACCTTTCAGAAAGACCTTTTTGCCCTTTAAATTGAATGAAAAATAAAGAAAAAATGTACCGTGGTAATTAAATGTTACCTAATTTAATAAATTTTCATTAACTTAATTAAATGAAGTTGTTATATTTACTTGTACTCTTTCATTTGCCTTTATGTTCTTGTTTTTCGTTGTTGTTGTGATCTTGCGTTGGTTGATTTGGTGATGGTCCTCCTGCGATGTGGATCTTGTGGTGATTTTTATTGGTGATCTCTGTCTGTGCTCGTGAGGTGCATGGAAGGTTCAGGTAATACGTATGACCCAAATCCTTATAAAATATTGTAAAACTTTAAATTAGTTTTTGAACGTCGAGGAATTTTAAAAATTAATTAAAAAATTAATAAATTTCAAAATTTCTTAAATTATTAACTAGCTTTCGAAAGTTAGTAACTCTTAACTGAATTTTGAAAATGAGTTAAGAATTTAACGAATTTTAAAAACCGTAAAAACATTAATCAACTTTTGAAATAATCGATTTTTGAAATCTAATTAAAAACTCGTCGACTTTCAAAAGTCAAAAGTCAGAATTTAACAATTTTCGAAATATGTTAACTATTTTTAATTTTTTCTAGAGTTTTATTATAATTTAGTTTTTTTGCTAGTTATTTAATTTTTAATATCCGAGCATTTTATTATTAATATTGATATTATTATTAGTATTAAGTGAAGTATGGAGTAACCAACAACATGTAGATAAATAATATTTTAAGATGAATAATTATTTATTTGAGTTGATGGATTCACCAATAAATTTGAGTTTTGTATTTGAATTTTCTTATTTCAGTAATGAATGGGTTTGAGGAACTGTATTTAATCTTAGATTTATTGTGATTATTATAGGATCTGATACAATAACTGGTGAACCTAGAGAAAAGACGTTTGTGTTGTTAGGTTGTGAAAAGAGTGAGAAGTACAAATCTAATGTTCAATTGTGTGTATTCGGCACAAGAAAATGTGAGTGTCCCTTTAAGTTAAGGGACAAATCTTATTCTAATGAAGAGGGTTGGGTGTTAAAGGCAATTTGCGGATATCACAACCATGAATTGCCCGAGACTTTAGTTGATCGCCTTTTTGCTGATAGGTTAAATCATGTTGGATCGTCATTACATGTTGACATGACTAAGAATCAAGTAATGTCTTCAAATATTCTACTGAATCTCAAAACATAATAATTCTAAGGTGACAACAATAAAACAAATCTATAACGCAAGGTATACATATAGACGACCTTTGAGAGGGTTGAGAACTGAAAATGCAATAGCTGATGATGATGTTAAATCGAGATAAATACATCCAATGGAGTAGATGTGGTGACAAATATGAGGTGGTAAGTGACCTCTTCTGTGTTGGTCAAAACAACCGGTATCTTCGAGTCGCGCAGCGGAATAAAAAATTTACAGAAAGAGTGTTCGGTCAAATTAAAAAGGTTTAATAGGTTTGGAGTCCCTATATTTGCGGGTTCATTTCAATTGGGTCCTCCAATTTTGGAAGTGATCAATTGAGTCGCTAATTTGGTCAATTTGATTCAATGATAGCATTTTCGTTAAATGCAGTTAACGACGTTAACTTTTTTAACAGGTGGCAAGTTGAGGCATCTAGGTGGCACCGTTTGAGCTGTATAGGTAGATTTTTAACATTTTTAATTTTTAAATATATTAATAAATGAAAATATAATTAGAAATTATTAAATTATTAAACATATTAAAGCAATGTTTCCTATTTTGGGGTAGCCTGTGTTTGAGAAATTGGGGAAATCTGCGAACTTAGGGTTCGTTGCTGGAAATGGCATTGTGCTGGCATTTGGGGAGATACTGGTCTCGATCTCCAAAATCGACCTAAATCTTTTCTCTTCTAAGCCTCCCTACGCACAAAGTACAACTTTCCCATCACATGAAGGATATCAACAAATGCTATAAAGCCAATGCTCATTACAAGAACCACATTTGGGGAGATCTGGAGTCCAGGGGCATCATCAGTGTAAAATTGGAGCATAGTTCCAGTTGCTCCTCTAGAGGCCCCACCACCGGCTGTTCTCCTCCTCCTCATGTTTGCAGTAGCAGCTGCACTTCCTCTTGGGGGAGTTGTTCCACCTAAAGCCATTTTCTGAGACAAAAGTTCCATACATACATTAGGAATCTTGAATTAAAAACAAAATATAAAACCTAAAAAATCAACTACTACAACTAAATCTTCTCACAGCTAACTCATCCGCCCCTCCATAACAAATACAAACTCAAATTAGTTAGATATAAGTAAACCAAATCTCAAGTAGTCACAGATCTCAAATGAATGAAAAAGCAACGTATATCTTATTCAAAATAGGAAAAATTGCTTTAATATGTTTAATAATTTAATATGTTTAATAATTTCTAATTATATTTTCATTTATTAATATATTTAACAATTAAAAATGTTAAAAATCNGACCTGAGGAAAGAGAAGAGCATATGAAGACTTGTGAAAGTAGGCATAAGTATCTTGATGCACTGAAACGAAGTCAAGAAATTGAATGCAGTGTTTGCCTTGAGCGTGTTCTGTCAAAGCCTATATTAGCTGAGCGCAAGTTTGGGCTGCTATCCGAATGTGATCATCCATTTTGCATATCCTGTATTAGGAATTGGCGGAGTAGTAACCCAACATTGGGGATGGATGTTAATAGTACATTGAGGGCTTGTCCTATTTGTCGTAAGTTATCGTATTTTGTCATTCCAAGTGTCGTTTGGTACTCAACAACTGAAGAGAAACAAGAAATCATTGACAAATACAAGGAAAAGCTCAAGTAATTTCTTGATCTCTCACAAACTCTTATGACTTCTTTTTCTTTTTCTATCCAATTAATTCATGATCTGATTACATTTGAAGTTCAGAGAGTTTTAACTTTGGTTCACCGTTGTATGCTGTCTTATTGATGCGGGACGACCCGTTTCCATTACCCCTTCTTTATATTGATTTGCTTGTGCCAGTGCAGCTGATGGCGAGCAATATATCATATAGTTCACAACAAGGAAAAAAAATATCTCAGCTGAGTGAAATAGTTAATGACTATATATTTTATGATACACTTTTGGTAATTGTTTAATTTCTTTTGTAGGTCAATTGACTGCAAGCACTTTGACTTTGGGGATGGTAACTGCCCTTTCGGATCTAGTTGTTTCTACAAGGTAATTTAGTGAATATATCTAGTTCTATTTTGACAAGCTCTCCCCCTGCCAGCCATTTTTCTATTTTCCTAATAAACACTTAATAAATATCTTTTGTTTGTTGTGCCATAATATATATGGTTTTTTATATACTATAGAATTTGTTGCATTAGAAACAGTGGTGCAACTTCTACGTTTCTGGTATCTAAGTCTATTAGTATTTTCAGGCATACAGCTTCAATTCCCCTACCTTGTGTTGAATTGTGATGTCTAGATTGTGGTTTGGGGTTTGAATTGTGTTAAAAGTGAGTCTTGAGAAGTGTTTTGAGGTATCTGTTTGCAAAATTTGACTCGAGATTGGTTTTTTAAATCAATAATTGCAGCATGCATATCGAGATGGCCGTGTGGAGCAGGTAGTATTGCGACATCTAGGTGCTGCAGATGGAAATACCGTAATTGCAAAAGATATCAGGTTGCTCTTTTCCTTCTCATTATCTCTGACCTTAACCTTGCTATGTTCCTCCTTTTTTTTTTCCATTCACTAACATAAAACATGATGCTTTCAGGTTGTCGGATTTCCTTTCCAACATGCATTTAAGATGAACGGAGTAAGTTTCAAACTTGTGTTTCCTTTACTTAAGTTGAGGGTGACTTTTGTATATGATTTAATGTATAATAATATTTCTTTTGTATTTGATGCGTAGTTTATTTTATTGTTAGTTCCTATCTTTGAAGCCTCAAATATGATCGTTGTTTGGGAAGCATCACCATTTGTTCAATTGTTTGATAAACTCGTGCTTTTATGGTTTTTACATAAGTTTGATGATCCCTTGAATGACTATTAGCTTTATGGGTATCTAGAGGCCACATGAAATTTAGTGTCTGTTGATATTATCTTTTACATAAACAGGTTCTATGTAAGAAATGAATGTGTTTAGTGCTCTTAATTGTAGCCTTTTGAATGTGAGAGTACATATGTGCCTTTTAAATTGCTTTATCTTTTACATTTAGACATCGAGGCCAATTTAAGCAATCTTTTATGGCCTTCCAGAAAATTGGGAATGAGGGACATAAAGCTTATGAACATCAGCCTTAAATGATCAAATAAAGAGAAGATAAAATGATTGTCTAAGATTGGGGATGATTATGTAGGGTGTAGTTCTAATTATTTCACTTTCTCCAACCTTAGATATGGTCATCAAATGAATATTTATCAGGAAAGTGCAAAGAAAATAGAAACACTTTCTATCTGTTTTTTTTGTATCTTTAATTGGCCTTTGTTTGGTAGAAATTTGGTCCCTGATCCACTTAGGTTATACACGATTAGGAATCCGATCATGTATGGAGAAAACTTAAGTTTTGATTATCATACACTCATATTTGTGCAAAATACTAATATTAAACCATAAACCCTAAACCCCATACACTCATATTAGTACACGTTGGTCCCTGCTTTTCTGTGCTTCTCAAGTCCTAGCCCTAAAAATCATTAGTTCTAGTTCCTATATGCCTTAATCGGAATTAAACTTTAAGGCTTTTTTTTGTCACTTTCCTGTACAGTGACATATTCATAAATGAGCCAAATATTAAGTTTAGCCTTGCTTTTTACGTCATTTTTTATTCCGAAAACGTCTAGCCCTAATGCTAATTGTATTTCCCTTCTAAGCATACTTTTTTTAGTTGAACTGATGTTGAGCTTAGTGCCTCTGTTTTTCTTTGTACCCTAGTTGTGTTAATTGCTACCTGTGTGTTATCTCTGCAGGATACTTGCTAAAAAAAGGCATCCTTCAATGTCAAAAGTTATTTTTATATTGCAAGTCAAGCTCCTCTTCTTGTTTCTATGATAGGTGCTTTTTCAGTAAACCCATATGCAATTGATAACCTCAATATTTTCTGAAATGTAAGTTTTGTCGGTCTTGATTTTAGATTTATCTTTAAGCTTGTCTACTATCTGAAGTTTATACCCACAGTATTAATTAATGCTTTCAATTATTTTCTATCACGTATGGCATATATACACATTTTCTCACTTTCCTTGAGATTGTTTGTGTATAGAATATTTGGTCCAGTGGCCCCAATATGAAAGGAACCATATATCCTTGAAATCTAATCCCTTTTTTCGGTCTTACTTTCTTCTGTTTTCATTTGGTCAGAGTTTATCTTAATGTTATGTTGGTAGGCATTTGTGAAGTGATGTAATCCAAAACCATTTCTTCTGGTATTGTTGCTTCTTGTCTTCTTGACTTGGTATGGAGTCCCAATGACTAAGTGGCGTATTGCTTATGGTAGTTAGGATAATGTTCTGACTAGTAGAATCACTGCTGAGCAGAACCGGTAGACTCACCATGCAGAATCATACAAATGGTAGAATCAGAGTTTTCCTAGTTTGCATGGATCATATTTTTGTGTGCCAGCTTTCAGCTGTGGGTCAAGTTTCTTTGCGTGGTTCTTTTGTTGGCTAAGGCTATCTTAGTCACATGTAGCATTGCTAGGAACCCTCTGTTTTATCCCTACAAGCCACACCATTGCTCTCCCTAAAAGTTTTTGCCTCCCTCTTTAATAAATTGGGTCTTGTCCTCTTAACTCAAGAAAGAATTTCTAGCATTGCAATATATCCCGTGACCTCATCTCCAGAAGTAAAATCCTAAAATTAATTCATTCATTAGTAAAGTGTTCCTCTATTTCAATTGAGTCGATATATAGTAAACTGACCTGAAGGCTTGGTTCCCTCTAAATTTGTCCTTTTAGGATAGACTCAAAATATTCCTTTTTCATGACCTTATTCCTTTTTATATAATGAGTTAGTCAAGTTAGGTCATTCCTTCAGTTTCCATCGTACTCATGCTGCTTTGGTAGATCTGTTTTCTTAACGTCTTTTCCACAAACACTGTGTAGGGCTTTGGATTGTGGTCTGTAAAAAAGAAAGGTAGCAGCAGATAAACCACAGACAAAATAAGAAGCCCAGTCATGAGTTTATGCAGATGCCATAAAATGTGTGAAATTCAAGCAAACATGTAAATGAATCCACGTGTCTTGATTGCAGAACAGAGACTTTTATTTATAATTGTCATAGGATATATGCTATGTTTAAAAATTATCTATGTGAGTACTGCTTGTGGATTTCTTGGCTTATGTTTTTATCTAAGATTAGTGTTAAGTGGGGTTTGAATTTTGAGTGTTTGACTTGTAATTAGTAACATAAGAAAGGATGAAAGTATCAGCACTTTTTTAGGCAAAACTATTTTTCTCTTTTCTAGAGCATCAAGTTGTATTGTTTCCCCTTTTACTTTTGAATTATTGGTCTATATTGTCTAAAGGGTCTTTTGGATAAACTTCTCTGGGAACACTTGCAGAAGAAAAAAAACGAAATAATTTTTCCACAAGTTGGACTTGCTTATACATAAGTTAAAAATCTAATATTTGAAAAGCTATTAATTTGTTCGTAAACTAAGTTTTATTTATGGAAAAACTTATTTTGATCTGTAATGTTATTTTCTTCTTCTAGAAGTATATGGAAAAGTTCATCTGTTATAGGATATTAAACTCTGTCTGCTGACAATGATTTGTTTATTTTCTCTTAATCAAAATTTCAGAGGCACCAGAGAAAGAGGCTGCACACTTGGGCATTCTGTCGTTGTAATAAAGTGCATGTGCTATAAATGGTAGTTGGACATGGTACGAGGGTATAAACTTAAATAAATTCATTTTTAAAGCATATAAATCGAAGTATGGATTGGTGGTGGTATACTCTATTAGAAGCATGGTGGAATGCACTCTTTTATCCATCAGTGAGACTTTTAGAACCATTACTTTTTTCTGGTGGATTTCAAAGTAATATGCAAAAATTGATTGGGGTGATGAAGTTTTCCTGTTCTATTATTGAGATCTTAAAGAGATACATTTCTGTTGTATACTTGGATTTCCTTGCTGTGGTTGGCACAGTACCAAGAATCTTAGGATAAAGGATTCAACATGTCTTGTATTGGTTTTGTTATTTTCTTTAGGATTTTGTCAGAGCCCTTTTTGTGGCTTATATAGATTCCTTTTTTTTTTTGTTTTTATGAATATATACCAGTACAATTCTCATAAGTTTCACCAACTGAATATACCACAATTTCTTTTAATTAAAGAGGCCCATGAAAAAAAAATCTATTTAATATTATTTTGTTTCACCAAAGTTATACTTAGTCCATCCCATTTGAATTGCAATAATATTGACTCAAACTTTTATGGGAAGACAACCCTCCAAATTACAAATGAAAGCCTAGAACAAGGATATAGTGACATTTACAAGTCCTTTTTGATGGGGGTTGGGAGAAGGTATCACAAAAGGTGCGGTTTTGTTCACTCATACTCATTCTCATAAGTGATGGGTTTTTAAGAGGAAATTTTTCAATTTTAATGTTAATATTTATCTTGGGTTATATATGGACGATTTGTCATCCATTATTTAAAATTTGAATATTCACATACTTTAAACAATTTATATATTAAATTATTTGTTAAGTTTTTAATTTGAACATGAAAAATGTCATTTACATAGAACAAGTACGGATGCTTCTTCATGTACCTCTCTTTTTCCTGCACCTTTCAGAAAGACCTTTTTGCCCTTTAAATTGAATGAAAAATAAAGAAAAAATGTACCGTGGTAATTAAATGTTACCTAATTTAATAAATTTTCATTAACTTAATTAAATGAAGTTGTTATATTTACTTGTACTCTTTCATTTGCCTTTATGTTCTTGTTTTTCGTTGTTGTTGTGATCTTGCGTTGGTTGATTTGGTGATGGTCCTCCTGCGATGTGGATCTTGTGGTGATTTTTATTGGTGATCTCTGTCTGTGCTCGTGAGGTGCATGGAAGGTTCAGGTAATACGTATGACCCAAATCCTTATAAAATATCGTAAAACTTTAAATTAGTTTTTGAACGTCGAGGAATTTTAAAAATTAATTAAAAAATTAATAAATTTCAAAATTTCTTAAATTATTAACTAGCTTTCGAAAGTTAGTAACTCTTAACTGAATTTTGAAAATGAGTTAAGAATTTAACGAATTTTAAAAACCGTAAAAACATTAATCAACTTTTGAAATAATCGATTTTTGAAATCTAATTAAAAACTCGTCGACTTTCAAAAGTCAAAAGTCAGAATTTAACAATTTTCGAAATATGTTAACTATTTTTAATTTTTTCTAGAGTTTTATTATAATTTAGTATTTTTGCTAGTTATTTAATTTTTAATATCCGAGCATTTTATTATTAATATTGATATTAGTATTAGTATTAAGTGAAGTATGGAGTAACCAACAACATGTAGATAAATAATATTTTAAGATGAATAATTATTTATTTGAGTTGATGGATTCACCAATAAATTTGAGTTTTGTATTTGAATTTTCTTATTTCAGTAATGAATGGGTTTGAGGAACTGTATTTAATCTTAGATTTATTGTGATTATTATAGGATCTGATACAATAACTGGTGAACCTAGAGAAAAGACGTTTGTGTTGTTAGGTTGTGAAAAGAGTGAGAAGTACAAATCTAATGTTCAATTGTGTGTATTCGGCACAAGAAAATGTGAGTGTCCCTTTAAGTTAAGGGACAAATCTTATTCTAATGAAGAGGGTTGGGTGTTAAAGGCAATTTGCGGATATCACAACCATGAATTGCCCGAGACTTTAGTTGATCGCCTTTTTGCTGATAGGTTAAATCATGTTGGATCGTCATTACATGTTGACATGACTAAGAATCAAGTAATGTCTTCAAATATTCTACTGAATCTCAAAACATAATAATTCTAAGGTGACAACAATAAAACAAATCTATAACGCAAGGTATACATATAGACGACCTTTGAGAGGGTTGAGAACTGAAAATGCAATAGCTGATGATGATGTTAAATCGAGATAAATACATCCAATGGAGTAGATGTGGTGACAAATATGAGGTGGTAAGTGACCTCTTCTGTGTTGGTCAAAACAACCGGTATCTTCGAGTCGCGCAGCGGAATAAAAAATTTACAGAAAGAGTGTTCGGTCAAATTAAAAAGGTTTAATAGGTTTGGAGTCCCTATATTTGCGGGTTCATTTCAATTGGGTCCTCCAATTTTGGAAGTGATCAATTGAGTCGCTAATTTGGTCAATTTGATTCAATGATAGCATTTTCGTTAAATGCAGTTAACGACGTTAACTTTTTTAACAGGTGGCAAGTTGAGGCATCTAGGTGGCACCGTTTGAGCTGTATAGGTAGATTTTTAACATTTTTAATTTTTAAATATATTAATAAATGAAAATATAATTAGAAATTATTAAATTATTAAACATATTAAAGCAATGTTTCCTATTTTGGGGTAGCCTGTGTTTGAGAAATTGGGGAAATCTGCGAACTTAGGGTTCGTTGCTGGAAATGGCATTGTGCTGGCATTTGGGGAGATACTGGTCTCGATCTCCAAAATCGACCTAAATCTTTTCTCTTCTAAGCCTCCCTACGCACAAAGTACAACTTTCCCATCACATGAAGGATAACAACAAATGCTATAAAGCCAATGCTCATTACAAGAACCACATTTGGGGAGATCTGGAGTCCAGGGGCATCATCAGTGTAAAATTGGAGCATAGTTCCAGTTGCTCCTCTAGAGGCCCCACCACCGGCTGTTCTCCTCCTCCTCATGTTTGCAGTAGCAGCTGCACTTCCTCTTGGGGGAGTTGTTCCACCTAAAGCCATTTTCTGAGACAAAAGTTCCATACATACATTAGGAATCTTGAATTAAAAACAAAATATAAAACCTAAAAAATCAACTACTACAACTAAATCTTCTCACAGCTAACTCATCCGCCCCTCCATAACAAATACAAACTCAAATTAGTTAGATATAAGTAAACCAAATCTCAAGTAGTCACAGATCTCAAATGAATGAAAAAGCAACGTATATCTTATTCAAAATAGGAAAAATTGCTTTAATATGTTTAATAATTTAATATGTTTAATAATTTCTAATTATATTTTCATTTATTAATATATTTAACAATTAAAAATGTTAAAAATCCACCTTTACAGCTCAAACGGTGCCATCTGGATGCCTCAGCTTGCCACATGTTAAAAAAGTTAATGTCGTTAACTGCATTTAACGAAAATGCTATTATTGAATCAAATTGACCAAATTAGGGACCCAATTGATCACTTCCAAAATTGGAAGACCCAATTGAAACGAACCCGCAAATATAGGGACCTCCAAACCTATTAAACCAATTAAAAAATTGGTTCCTTTAATTTTCTTATAAGTGTTTTATCGAACAGTTGATGAACAGTAAATATAAAGAGTGTTGGAGTAGAAAAATCACACAAATGATTTTTATCCTGGTTCGAATTAAAAGATTCTACGTCCAGTCATTAATCACTATCAATAGTGATTAACTTTTTCACTAAAATAGTTTCATAGTTACAATGAAAGTGAATAGAAAATAACAAAAACACATTCCTTCGACAAATGAATCGGAAGAATGCAGCAACCGGAACAATAACAGTTTCACGACTTGGAACAGTTAAGATATTTAACTCTTCGACCGGTCGGCTCCAGTTCTTCACCTTCTGCCGCTCGGTTTGATTCAACACAACCTCCTGCCGTTCGGTTCAAACCCTTATGATCTTTTGGCGTTCGGCTCGGTTCCTCACAGCTTTCTAGCGTCGGTGCTAACTGCTCGATCTTGGTCATTCCTTGCTTGGTCTTTCCCATAGCTTTCCATCGCTTGGCTTATTTCTCATATACCTTCCAACACTTAACTTTTTATTCTAGTGTTTGTTGGACTCAATATCGTTCAGCTGCTTTACAAAGCCGTTCGGTCCGTAACTATGTTCGGCTTGTGTTTGACACCATTCGGTCACTAATTGTTCGGCCTGTGTTTAGCCTGTGTTCAGCCTTAATCTGCTATACGCCGTTCAACCTTTATTTGATACGACCGTTGGGTCTTCAACTAATGATGACCATTCGGTCTTGAACAGTGTTCAACCTTTAACTGTTGTACGTTGTTCGACCTTTATTGTTAGTGACCATTCGATATTCAACTGAGTTTGGCCAATGTTCAACTCCGTTCAGTCTTGTCAGTGTCCTTTCGGTCTTAAACAATGTTCGGCCATGAACTAGTATACACCGTGCAGCCTTCAACTATTACATACCGTTCGATTTTTGACTGATTGTGATCGTTCAGTCTTAGTCATGCATCTGCTCGGTTGCCAAGTTCAATTCTTTCTACCACCACTTCACCTTCCAACCGCTTGGTCTTCGTTCATGCCTTCTACCGTTCGGTCTTAACTTCTCAGTGATGCAGCTGTCGTGGCCCATCAAATTTGATGTGCAAATAAGAATGCAGTATAGTGGTAAGAAGTGACTCCTAGGTCGTCTCTCAAGGATCAAATATGGTTCGAGACTTAGGTCAAACACGTAGTGGGGGTTTTTGAAAGTGTTTTTGCAAGGAAAATTAAATTAAATTAAAATTGGAAATTAAAGACAACCAAACATAATTAAAAGTAGAAATCAGCAGAATATAGAAATCAGCAGAATATAGAAATCAACAGAATATAGAAATCAACAGAATATAGAAATCAACAGAATATACATGAGTCATATTGTTCTGAACATAGAAATCAGCAGAATATACATGAGGATTGTAGTCAGATGCAGAAGGATAATCATAGTCATAGGCACAGGCAGAAGAAGTAGTATTCACAAAATCAAAATAGGTAGACATGGAATAAGACGGGGGAAGGTAGAAAGGAAATGCTAAATATTACGAAACAAACAAAACACAACACAATTAAACATGCAACACGCACACACAATAACGCACACACAAAACAAAACATCACACTCACAACACAAAACAAAACACAACACACACTAACACAACAAAAGACCTAAGACCGAACCGTTGGTCCCCGACAATGGCGCCAAAATTTGATGCGGTTGTCGCGGCCCATCAAATTTGATGTGCAAATAAGAATGCAGTATAGTGCTAGGAAGTGACTCCTAGGTCGTCTCTCAAGGACCAAATGTGGTTCGAGACTTAGGTCAAACACGTAGTGGAGGGGTTTTGAAAGTGTTTTTACAAGGAAAATTAAATTAAATTAAAATTGGAAATTAAAGACAACCAAACATAATTAAAAGTAGAAATCTGCAAAACATATATATACCGAACGGTCTTAACATTGAGACCGAACAATCTTTGAATTAACGAAATAGAAATGAGCAAAACACAAAAGTCGAACGGTAACGAAAGCAAAAGATGAAGGGGTCGTTCGGTCTCTAACAGACCGAACGGTATTACAGTGTAAAATCTGAACGGTAATAAAGCAAGAGATAAGGGGGTCGTTCGGTCTCTAACAGACCGAACAGTATTACAGTGTAAAAGTCGAACGATAATAAAGCAAGACAATAGAAATGAGATTGAAAACTAAACTGAATGCAAAAAAAGTCGAAGGGTCTCTAACAATGAAGCATGTTAGAGACCGAACGTTATTAATTTAAAACCGAACGGTCTAAATGAAGAAGCTCAAAACGTTGCAGAAATGAAGCAGAAAACGCGATGAACAGTAAATTAAACTAGTAGAACTGGAATGAACATGTAGAGCTGGAATGAAGCAAAACAAACTTCTAAACACAACTAGAAAACGTAAATCAAAACACAAACATAGGCTGCAGTGAAAATAAGTTGAGAAACATAAAGAGACAAAGTTGAAAAACGTGAAATGGAAACAAAAATCTAACAGAATTAAAATGCACAATTGAAAACGGGATTGGAAACGAAAGGCAATGTGTAGATGAAAATGAAGATTCAACAACATCAGATAAAGAAAGTAAAGTGGAAATTGCAATTAAAAATAGAGGAGATTCAATACATGAAGATAAAAAATGAAAACAAACAAAACCTCCCCAAAGGGAAGGAGGAAAAAAGATGTTCCCCAGAAAACGTAAGTGGCGGCAGGAAGACTTATGTAAAGTGAAGGTGAATTTTGGGATATATAGACCCCCAAAAGACAAAACTACCCATGACCTAAAATTTGGATCCCAAGTCCTAAGGTTGACCCAACAATTTACATTCTAACTCTGACGTGGCCACCCTCTTGAATTCCCAAAATGTGCTTCCAATACTGCTGCTGTTGAGTTCTCTGGTCATCTCATCTGACCGTTCGGTCACTAAAAGCTTCCACCGTTCGGTCAACAATGGTTTGTAGGCGTAGGAGATGGTGCACTGCAGTCTTTACAAGACCTTTCGGTCAAGAGCAATTGCTGAGACCGTTCGTTCTATGGTGCTCATCCATTCAGTTCAGGCTCTAGCTCACCGTTTGGTCACTACAAAACCATTCCCGTGCTCGCCATTATGTTGAATAGTGCTCAGGTGGTAGCTGACCGTTCGGTCATGAAAGGCTCATGTCGTTCGGTTCAAGGAACACATGCACTGTCGTTCGCTTGAAGAGTTTTCGGTCATTCAGTGTAAGCTTTCACAGACCGTTCGGTATATGCGTCCACATACCGTTTGGGTTTATGAGTTGAGCTAGGTTTCCACAGACCGTTCGGCCAATCCTTCAGCAAACCGATCGGTAGTGTAGTGCTCGGCCATTCATTGCAGGCTCTTAACATACCGTTCGGCCATGTCTTCAGTAGACCGTTCGATCAATGCTTCCAGGACCGTTTTCGGTATTCATTCCTTTAGAAGAACGTTCAGTCAAGGCTTTAGCAGACCGTTCGGTCATCTTCAGCAGATCCTTTCTCAGCATTTGAACCGTGATTGTCCTGCACAAAATGATTGAAATAATTAAGCCCAAATAATTCAAATTAAATAAAATAAGAATATGTCTTGAAATTGAGCCCTAATAATGAAAATGCAAGAATAATTGATAATTAAGCACAACACTAACAAAATATGGTGCTTGAAGCTAAGTGTATAGTGAAAAATGGTGACTCATCACTCGGTCCTGGTGTCTTCTCTTATACATAAATGCTTTGAAACTCATACAACATAAGTCTTCTTATTCTTCACTTTGTAACATCATCAAAATCATTATCTTCAAGATACCAATGTTCCTTATTGGTAATATTTTGGACACATCTTGCTATAATGCACTTGTTGAATACATTTAATATTGTTTTCATGATAAATTTTTAAAACTAACAATGATGGAAGAACATCAAGGAATCACATTGGACTCTTACTAGAGCCATGGCAAGGAAGATTCAAGAAGAAGAAGGATCACCTAACACTTTACTTCTATGGAAGGTTACTTATGAAAATCCTTCTTCCCTTGTCTAAAAACTAATATTTGTAAATAATGTTTTGTAGGATACAATAAAAGCAAAAGCCATGGTCAACCAATCAGATTTCGGAAAAGCACTTCAAGGGATCAGCACCAGGGCCGCTCCAGCGCCCTCAGACAGAGGGTTCTCACTTTTGAGCTTAGTGAAATGTTGCAGAAATTGTTTTCCAGCCCTATTGCTCTTGAGTCACTCCTTCTCTTCACTTTCTCTACCCTTTCCTCTAGCTTCCTTCCATAGTAGGAAGGCCTTCTGAGCTGAGAGGTCTCTACATACACACTCCTTACATTCAAAAACATACCAAAACACCATTCATAGCCATTCATTCCGCTGACCATCAAGGCTTGTTGTTTGGAGATTGCAACCTGCAAGTTCCAAGCCTAGCAAGCTTCCATCAAACAAGGCCTTAATCAACTTTTGAAAGTCGACGAAGCCTTAACTAAATTTCGAACGTCGATTAAGGTTTTGTCTTCATTTTCCATCACCATGAACCACAAACATGCACATCTCCTAGTCATTTCCAGTGTTAAATTCAAATCAATATCGCATGTCTCAATCGTAAAACAAAACGCAAAACAAATTTAAAACGTAGTGCTTACCTACCAGTATTGAGACAAAGAGTGGTGT